TCGCGCCGGGCTGTCCGATCCGACTCCGAGTTCACGTAAAACAGGGGGAATTTTCCAACCCCGGGGTTATCCACGTACAGGCTCGGGCCTATGCACTAACCCCAGGCGCACGTCTAACGCTACAAACTGCCGATACACCTGTCGATAAGCTTACACAGTCCAACCACGCAAAGATCCATACGAAGCCTAAAAATCGTTTTCTTTTTTTTCTAATACAGTATCACCAGCTCCAAACACAATTTCGCTTTCATTTTATAATGTACGGTTTTGTTATTTAAGAGAATCATGTAAATATTCCCACGGGGAAAAATGAAGGTATCGATTGGCACAACCGGCATTTTTGTAGTGGGTGATTTGAAATTCAAGAAATCAAACGGTCCAAATCGTGACATTGATTCTTGCATCCCGAGCGACTTTTCTACCTCTAAAAATAGATCATAGAAAACAGAGGTCGGATTAGTGGATATGATATCGGATTTCTGAAATCCCCTGCTGGATATGTTTTGTCGCATTCTGATTCTTCCCAAAATGGAAATGAAGTCATTATGATGTCATGATAGCTCAGCGTGTCAAAGGGCACGTCCAGGTGTCATCATCGCCCGCCGGCGCCACATGATATTGTCATTGTGTCTGCAGGTAAAAAAAACCCTGCCCAGCTCCGTCTGTGCTATCACATACACCCAGCAGCAACAAGATTCATTATCTGACAAAATTAGGCGTTCAGTGCACTTGGAATCCTCTGTGAAACGCTAGTAATCAGAAATAATGCCTCCACAATTGGATAACTCTGCGCACAGATGCCGGCTAGTCTGCCGTGCGCCTCATGTCTATTACCGGGCCCTACCGCTGAGTCATCAGACTGCGATTCGTCACACCGAGCTTCAGGCTATCAAACGCAATCAGTCGGGCTCATGTGGATGACTTCGCCCTTTTCTAAATAACCACTATGCAATATAGTAGAAAGTATCCCTGAGAAATACAGTTGAATATTCCCTAGGAACGGCACGCAGATACCAGCCGTTACAGCTTTGCTTCACTGGCGGCTCCCGCCTATCGCGTCGTTAGGTGATTCGATTTTATGAAAACATCACTAAGCCGACTCGCCTCACATGCCTGCCTCGTACGACTGCTGAGATAATGTAGAGGAACGTGTGTATTGCTGACGGTTAAAAGGGCTGTAACAATTTATAGCGTCATTAAAGTTGGTGTTTGGAACCAGGCCGGTGGTTGATGTGATGTTGTACACCACAGAAATAGCCTCACATTTAGGGGTGTATATACAAAGTACACAATGTACACGACAAAACAGATCCCCCTGCAGCTGCACGTATTAAGTACCGTATTTACCGTCAGGCAAATAACCAACATTTTCATACTTTGCCTTACACCATTAATGGCAGGCGAACTTGAGACTTCCGGGTAGATCGTTATTGCACCTAGCAAAATTGCCCCGTTGTAAGTCTAACCACCGACAGTGGCGCGGGAACGGTTTCGGTTAACTTCCCTGCCCCATCTCCATACAGATTTGTAACCTTCCTTACATGCTGCATACAGATATAAGGGGATACATCCTGTAGTTATTGAACCCGTCCGCTCTCCTATAAGGGGAATTGATGTTTTATTACCATATTCTGTACACATAAGCAGAGGAGGAACGTAAACAGGAGGGAATACATTATTAATGAACATGGAATGGGTTTGACAATTTTGATTGCCGCGCTTAGGATAAATCAGAACGGGATGAAAGGCATTTCTACTGTCAGTACTCCGCACATTTTATGACTTACCCGTGCAGTTTTCGTTTCCGTTGAGTCTCCTGCGAAGGATTTTGTTTTTGGCGGGAAATTCCTTGCCCTCCCACACTTCAGCAGGCACATCGTTGAGGTGGACTGCCTCTATCCTGACCCGGGGACACTTGCCTTGTCTCTCCAGGTCCTGGCAGACGTACAGCGCCCTGTTGTCCAGCGCCCACCACTCCCCGTCTTTCCGCACGGCCCGCAGAACCGGCGGGTCGTTGTCCAGCCCTCTTCGGTGTAACCTGCTCTTCAGCTGCGCCAAGCTCTCCTCCGCCACTCCGGTCATATCCCGCCATATGGACTTCGCGTTATCATTGATGAATTTTACCACAGAGGGCGGCTGTAGAGCATCCTCCATGTTTGTACACTGCAAATGTTTTGTCCTCGCGGAGTATTCAGGTATAGCGAAGGCCGTACGCAGGTTCTTAAACGTCCCGCTCCTTTCTTCACTTCTCCGCAACTTCAGTGCCCGGCCAGTGAGGATGGATCTAACGTTAGCCGTCCTCTCCCATACGAGCAGCTCGTGCGAGGTGTGTTGTGTGCCGTGACGTAATTATTGTGCCGGAGATGGGAGGGATAGCCTTCCGCCTGTCGCGAGTGATGAGAACAATTGGCTGGTACGTCGGTACGTGAGATGGGTGATTATGCCGGCACAGTCGCGTTCTGATATGTCAGCCGGGAGGGTAGGGGGAGGAGTAGAACATACCTCACGTGGATAACATGCAGAGCAATGCTCTTCAATTAATTATACATACTAGTAGTTTTAAAATACCGAAAGAAACCATTACAGGTCTAAAAATTGACTATTGTTTACATAATTTGTCAATCTTACAATTTAAATTAAGTTATTCTAAGACAAGAATAATTTTGATTCAGTTCAAAATCAGAGTGTAACAGGTTTTAACCGGCCTAAGGTAGCAACACGACTGATTGACATGATGACTTATTTGCCGCTATGATTCCTCAGTTCCGAGCGCTTGAGCAACAGAAGAGCCGGCAGCGTGACGATGCGGAGTCCACATTCCCGGAACGTATATATACTTCCAATCGATTCCCGTCAACTGGCTGGACCAATAGTGGACTATTCCATACCCTCAGGTGACTACGCACAGCACTGTGTTGTAGTGCTGACTGGCCCCTGTGGTAGGCGGCCATAGCACATCCGGGTACGAACATTGACGATGTTCTCAGACACCAAACTTCAAAGGGGCAATCAACGTACTGCATAATAACATGCTTTGTGTGCGACGGTTCACGTTTTACATCATTTCATGCTATTCTAATGTAAGAAATATCATTTTTATCATCGGAAAAAATCAGGCTATATCAAATGCATATCGATCGTCTGCGTGAGTCGATTGGAGTCTCAAAACTGTCCTCAGTGTTGATATCGCTTTAAGGTGCAAGTTTACGACGTGTATGCGTGATTCCGAGGCAAGAGTATATATGTGGAGCAGCGATACCATTTTATTGCATTCCTTTGATCTATATGCATGGAGGCAGTTGAGCGTTTGAATCGCCGGCTGAGAGCTTTAAATCGTCTGCTCTTGTTAAAGGCGACTTGGTGTAACATACTTCATCCCGCCACACGGGTACTGTTGGCATTCTCCAGTCACCCAGCCCGCCCCGGAGTAAAACTATCTGTCGGCGCCAATAATCAGCACTTCTAAATGTCATCAATGATTTTTAACTACGAGATGACATCCGTAGTCTACTCTTGGAGCCAATTACCCCGTTTTGTTGTCAGATTGATCTGACAGGAACGCAAATAAACCATCCTTGGAGAAATACAGGCCGTGAACTTGGTATTTACGAGAGGACGTGTGAGGAAATGAGATGGAAAATCAGATAAACGAGCTCGTTCTGTGACCTTTACCGCAGTGTCGGTAACTAAGAGTGTTAGATGGCGTGGCTTTGCCTCTATGCAGACTCATGTTTCTGTGACGTCAAGCGTGACTAGCTTGAAAGACACTGATGAATGGTGTGTGCTGAGCCTATGAGCCCTACCGTTAATTGTTGACGTTCTTGTGCTGTTTTGTGAAGATACAGTTCAAGACGCTGACAGATAGTCTGAAGGCAGTAGGGAGTCTGTTGAAGACGCAGTGCCTTTGAGCGTATCATGACGACCAGCAGGACGCTGGTAAACTTTAGAGGTTCTTCCAATACCTTGGCAGTCATCCATAGAAAAGTTGTCTCTTCTCCATTCATCAGCCCTACCGGTACCATAAGAAGCAGTTTCCTGCCCTTCCGTTAGCATTTCTAGTCTATACTGCACTGACGGGCATTTTCCTAATCCAGTCTGCTGTAACCAGTATGCAAACTTAAACACGATGTTCGAAAACTTCACCCTAGGCCTATTACGGTAGAACTAGAAACTCAGAGGGGGCAAAATGTTGGCTTTCAATACTGAGAAAAAAGCGTCTCTAGTTCAGGATGATTAACATACAACCGACAGTAATAATAACATAGTCCTTACGTAGACTGGACATCAACACACTGCCTTGTATGTTATTAAGCCTTAATGGCAGGAACCGTCCAGGGTCTGAAGGCAAAATCAATGTTTCTCTGACAACTGAAATAACGTCCCCTCCCAACAGCGGGACGGATCTCAGGCAGATGGGCCCCAATCGACACATCGACCCGCAAGACCATACATCTCCGGTCCGTCCTGGTATTAAATTCTACTACCTTTCACATTCCTGATGCATGTGTAAAAACCGAAAGGGGCGAGCAGGTCACAACCGGGACCAACGCTAACCACTACACTAAAAGGTCGCACGACGATTTAGCATGGTCAGTTAGCACTGTTACACATGAACACCGTTTCTTCCGATAAAAACAGAGTGGCCTGGTTGATTAGAAAAGCAAAGCCTGTATTGACATGTGGGATAATGACGAACAAGATACACGTATTGCGGTTGCAATTTTTTTTGTCCGTTTTATTAAAACGACGCACCTTTTGAAGACCTTTTGACACCTGTGATTCAAACGTAAAGCTTTGGAAATATGAGATTAGGTTTATTAAGTCCACTTCGGGATAACTAATTGTTTAGTAAAATTTTGCAAAGACTAATTAATTTTTTTCAAGTATCAAAGAAAGTCCTGTTGAGTATATAAGTCACCTTATCGGTATTCCAGACCAGTAGAAACTCCGATGAATTTATTTCTGTCGTCTGCTAATCGTTTTGCTGCTATCCTTATTTGGGGTTATTCGAGGTCAAAATTACCAAGATGGCGGCCACCATGTGTTCTACGGCGTGAAAGTAAGAAATGTCGTCTGTCGTTCTCAGTTTTGAGCTCAACGTTAATGAATTTGATCAGATTCCTTGCTGGGTAACCTGTGTTTGTGCTGGTGTTACTTTTGGTGTTCATTTTAGTTCGACTACCTTTTCAGCACTGTTATTTGTTGTGTGGGGAGGGGGGCAAAGTATAATTTATACATCCTTGTTATGTTGAAGCATTTTGGTTGAATTGAAGGCTTCGTGTCTTTGTTAAAGGAAACTTGACATTATAAGTCAATACCATACGTCTAACAGCCTTATTATTTATATTCATTAGGATAACAGCCAGTGCTATTAGTAGCTTCCTTATAAGCCGGCAAGAACAATCAATCATCAAGATGTGGAGACTACACATGAGTACAGCCATTCTCTGCAGACATGTCAGTATAACACACCGTCTGCAGAGCCTGTCCCTACAGGTCAACAAAACAACATGTCTGAATACTCCTGCCTGCTACCAACTAAGGTACCTGACACATGGACAGAAATCTGCACAGTGTACGAGATTCTTGCAGCCATACCAAGTGACCCAGCACTCTGCGACATGTAGCGCCTATAGTAGCAACAGTGGGGATGGCATAATAGTAACCGTGAAGGAAAAACTCAATCCTAAAGAGCAAGAACTGAAATCCTTTGAGGACGATTTCTTTGGACCAGAAATTGACGAGACTGTACCAGATACTGTCCAACACCCTGAACCACTCTCAGACATATACAACAGGAACACCAAGGTCGCCTTAAAACAGGACTTGGCGAAAGGTATAGAAAGGAAACGTTATGGATACATACAACATACTGACAGGGTACAGGAGCCTACGCAGCAGACAAGGGGAAAGAGTAAAAGGCCAAAGAAATCCTTAGATGCAAGAGGAAACTTTAGAATTGATGAAATCCTGGATGAATCGAGAACAGGCAGAAACCACCATGGTTTTATAGAAGGTTCAAGGTCATCTAAGAAAAGGAAGGGAAAGTTCAGCCCTCCCCAGCAACCAGAGCATATGTACACTCAGTATGGAGACAAATACATACCTGATCCTGACCTGAACGTACATGCTGATAGGCTTCAAACAACTACAAACTTCCGACAGTCATCAACGAGACAGGACAGACTCACAGCAGCAGTAAGAAATATTCACCCATCTACTGTTGCCTCAGATTCTGATGTGTTTCCAACAAGAAAGGAGAATGGAAGACAACAGCGTGCTCAACTACCTAACGAAGAAGACTCCAACGTTAACAGTACTGCTGTACCTTACAACGATGCAGATGACTTTGATCCTGATCTTGCTGGACTGGATGAAAACTTCGGTACTGTGGCCAAAGACAGGTACAAGAGAAGATGGTACAGGAAGGATGCGGATGTGGAGGAGTATGTAGACAGTGATGAGGAGGTGGAGAAGCGACACCAGCGCCCGCCAGGACAGGCACGACACACCTGCCAGTGGTACGGCAACAGGATGAAGGAACTGGCAAAGGCAGGAAAGGTAACGGGAACATCTTTGCATTGTAACATTGTCTGCCTAACTCTGTAACCAATGGGGAATTTGTAGCCAAATAACTACTTCAGTGTGCTAAAGGAAAAAAAATTGTCAGTTCTTTTACATCATTGAATAAATGTAACTGCATCATTCACTCATATCACGGAAATACTTGTTCTTAAGTCTATGTAATCATAATCAGCTTTGTGACTGCCTTTAGTCAAAACAGTAATAAACCTATGATGCTTTTACCTATATCAATGTTTAAAAAAATAAGACATTTGTATGACTATTTGTTATGCATATATCCAGCTACCAGAGGCCATTGACATGCTGGAGACCAGAATGCTGAAGGAGGACAGGGTACAGCCTAACGAGTATGTGTACAACGTCCTGATTGGTGCATGTGGCAGGACTGGCTTCTCACAGAAGGCTTTTGACCTCTTCTTCAAGGTAATGAGTGTAACAGTTGTGCTACTCTCCATTCAAGATCATGACTGCAAACAGTAGATATTCTCTTATACTTAATTAGTTTTCATTATATTGCATGTATTCTCGAGCTCCCACTGAGAGCACAGGAATGAATAGCAAGACTACATTCAACACAAAGTATTTACAACATTTCCTAACATTACTGTTGTTAGATGAAGGAGCGGGGCCTTCAGCCTGGGATGGTGACCTTCACGGCCCTGCTGAATGCCTGTGCAGAATCACCCTTCAAGAAGACTAATGAGTTAGGCAACATCATTCGGGTCAGGCAGGAGATGGCCAAGAGGGACATCCAACCCAACATGATCACTTACAATGCAATGCTGAAGGTAACATGGCCGCAGTTCACATCTATAGTACAGTATACTGCTCATTGTGCTTGTCAAAAAGAGCTAGGTATATTTCCCCAGTACAATGAACCTGTAAATACTGTACATAGCATCTGTCTTCTCTGTCACAACCAGTGGGAGCTTAGCTGTTCAGTAAGCTAAAACTGGATTGAGATGACTTTCCTTTTCCCCCAGGCCTATGCGAAGTGTGCTGACCTGCCTGCAGCCCTGGAGCTGTTCCAGGAGATTGTACAGTCTGGACAGGAGGTCACAGCCAAGACCTTCAGCTTCCTGCTGTTTGCCTCCACAGAGGACAGGGAGGCTGGCTTTACTCAAACAGTAGAGGTTAGACTTGATGTCAAACTTCTCATTATCATTTCCAGGTGACAGGCTAAACCATTGCCATGATGTACATGTGCTACAATAAAAACTGGAGAAAATGGTGTTCATCATCATCATCATCAATGGTGTTAAGACAAGGCTCCTTGCACTTTATTCATATTTTCTGCATCACGGTGATTCATAAAGATAGCAGGTATTCTTTAAGCTTGCAAAATTCCAAGTTGCTTATATTTTTCATCAATCTGAAAACTTCTCATTTCCTTATTCAAATTATCATGATCATTTTCATGCCTTATAATAATGCTATTAAAGATAATGCTGGCTTGCAGACTACATATTTACAACAAAGAAGTGGTTCAGTTGTCTCCCCCTCCTCTGCAGGCCTGGAGGCTGATGAAGAAAAGCCGCATCAAACCTGACATCTTCATCTACAACCTGCTGCTGCGTGCAGCAAGGGACTGTGGGATAGGGCAACAAGAGGTCGCAGAACAGATCCTACTCGGAGAGTCGGACATAAAGGGGATCCCCACCCCACGTCGGAAGAAAGTCCACGTCGGACCAAAACTGATCAAAGGATCCAAGGGTGCCAAACAGCTCAGTCCAGGTCAAGGTTCAGAGGTCGTCTCCAAGGAGATGTTGACGGTTGAACCTGTAGGAGTGGCTGATCGGCAGGAGGACAGTCTAAGTCAGGCGGATGAGTGGTGGAAGGAAGGGTCTCTTCATGACAGAAACACAAGCAATGAGACTGAAGTAACAGCAGTCACACGGGCACAAAGTGTTCCCAACTTGTTGGATCTGGAGTCAGGGCTGGAGAATGTTGTGTCTCTGGGACAGGTGCAGACCCCTGCAGACAGACTGAGTCTGTTAGGAGGAGTGACAGGTTTCCTCAGCAGTATGGAGGCTGATGGAGTCAAACCAAACATTAAAACTTTCTGTCAGATGCTGGAGATCATCAGACCAAACACCAGGTAAGGAAAGAGGTCACTGAGTATGTAATATGTTAAATCACAATTTTAAGCTTACACATACTATGCAAACACCTTACATTGCAAAAAAGGCTTTGTGTTTCTGAGAATTGCTGAGATTATTTAATTCTGTATCATAGGGAAGAGGCAGACCTGATGGCAGCCATGGATGAACATGGTGTAAAACCAGACAGGGACTTCTACAACGCACTCATCAGGAAGAGAGCCATGAGGAGGGACATGGAGGCAGCCAAGGTACATGATTACTGACTTTTTTTAAGCTTCACCTCTTTTGTTTTTCCTTCTTAGTGTCCCTCTGAGCCTCTTAGCCAGGCCTTGTTTCATCAATATGCATGATTCACTAAAGGAAAAACATTTCTATTAAATTTTTGTTTGCATTTACCTGTCAGGTTATTTTGAACTCTGTCAGGTTTATTTATCTAATGACTCATGGATGTCAATGTCTATGTGTTTGCATATAAACATGGCATAGATATAACCTTTTTATGCCCACTAGGCTGTTCTGCCCATGATGAGTGAGAGAAGACATTCCCCAAACCTCAGGACCTACGTGAACATGGCCATGGCATGTACCAGTAGTCAGGAGGGCTTCAAACTGCTCAGGGAAGTCAAGGTGGCTATATACTATTTTATGTTGATTTTTGTACAGCATAGAGAAGCTTTGATTTACATGTACTTTGAAGAAAGTTTACATGTGCTGTTTTATAATCTACGTCTTACAATCTAAGGTTTTGATCTACTTCAAGTGTGTATATGAAACCATGTTTGTCTGTGATTGAAATTGATTAACTGTACCAATTGCTCAATACAATAACTATGTATCCATAATTCCATATGTGTTCAGAAAATCAATCTATATTTTATTCCCAATTTCCCCTGCAAGCCAAGTTGTAAACTTCACATTACCATAGAAGTTTAATAGGAAATAGACTATTTCATAAGCCAACCTGCATCTTGTTCACAGATTGGTATTGATGTGCCCAAATAGAGGTTTAACATATATTTCTGAATGTTTTCCAGCTAGCAGGGTTTGCTCCCAATGTCCAGTTGTTCACAGCCTTGCTGAAGGCAGCCCTGGGCTCGAGGGACTACATCTATGCCAAGGACCTGATCCTGGCCATGGAACAACAGAATGTCGCACCTGACGAGTTACTGATTAAGAAGCTAGAGAAGGCTGCTGAGCACTACAAGGAACCACAGGTGCACACAATATTCTGTGTTTGATGTTTTATTAGACATCCATTAGATTAGACATGAAAACAGAGGATGTAGCTAGTGATTACTTAGTCTTATAGATTGAAAATTTTATGTACATATGGATATAGATTAGGTGGTAAATTATCAGGGCAGAAAAGATGTTGCTAACAGAACTTTTCATATAATCTGAAGGCATAATTATACCAACTTATTAAAATGGCTCCTTTTGCCTTTCTAAAAATGTTTCCACTTTATTTTTATTCTGACTTTTTGATACAGATGAATCTTTTATCTTTCTTACAGAAGGGCCCATTTCGGTCCCCCTTAAATGTGTACTTGTCCAAAGTCCACGCCTTCCGTAGTGTGTACAAGCAGTGGTTGGAGCGCATGCCTGCAGCACAGGAGGAACATCCATGGGACAAGTACAGGAACATACCCAGTCAGGAGGGGGATACAGCTGACAACTAGATATACAACTGCCTTAGGAAATACTATCCTTTAATTTTGTTTAAGTTTTCTGCAAGTAGTATATGATTCTATATGTATAGTCTGCACTGATACAACCAATAAATGTGAACAAATGAGAATGCTGAAGATAATAATACAGAAGATTACAATTTGAACTCATAGAAGAGTTCCTTTCACAGCAATGTTGTGTTGTACATTGCATGTATTAATAAAAACTATAACCTCAAAATGTTATGTCACTTCACTTAAATTACATCCAGTATTATTCAGTGTACATGTGAAATACTGACACAAAGAAACTTGTCACCTCACCCAACATGAAGTTTAAGACATTAAATTCTCTAGTGTTGTACCAAGTATGCACCTGTGTGAATGACTACCAATGACAACAACCAAGTCAATCACATCCAATAGCTCACATGTAGACTACTGTACTGTACAAGGAGTTCTAGACAGTGTAGAACTCAGGCTGTTCCTCCTGGAAGGACAGCTGCCTGCAGGTCAGGTCCAGCAGCAGAGGGGAGACGTTCTTCCTGCCTGCTGACACTTCCACCAACCGCAGCAGCTGATTGGCCAGGGTGGTTCTCTCATCTGGATGCCCTTCCTGAATACACGGTTAAAAGATTCATTCTAGCCAAGTAGCTCTTTTTTTTTAGCTTTTGAAATTTGAGCTATGAGCAGTGAGGGTTTGTTTAAGGGTAACCAAGAAAAAGATCTTCAGAAGTGAGACACAGGAAAATTGTCTCGAATATATTCAATTTCAAAGAATTGTGGAAAGCTTAAAGAGGAAACAGCTACCTTTGTCGCCCCACAGATGTACATGGTGTTGTACATGTCTGCCAGTCTGGACACTTCCTCCATCTCTACACACTGATCAGATGTGCCCTTGGCTGGAACAAAAATGACATCCTGTTTCTGTACAAGGTAGTTTTGGAAATGCACAAAGTCATGCATGTGTAAAAAAAGTCCATTCCAAAAAAGAAATGCCTGAAAAAACACAACACAACATAGCCTAACAGTAACAAGTATTCATACCCACCATTTGTTACCACAAAACAGGCTCTGCCTAGGAAGTACTCCACATCCACACACTGTACAGCAGACTTGACTGTGGAGAAACTGGGATTGAAACATGACATGAAAAGTGTTAGGAAAGCAAATAAATAACTGTAGAGTGTGGTAATCACCAAGGCTATTAATAGCAATAAAGCATCAGTATTCATTTACTTAAACATCTTAAAATTTTAATTAAAGCATGGCCTATACAGACATCAAAGCTCACTGTATACTGGTATATACTAGGCTATCTAATGTAGTTGACTGAGTAGTTACCTGAGTCTGTTGGTGAGATCTATGATGAACACGATGTAGTCTATCCTGGGTCTGGTGTCTGTGTTCTCCTCAGGTAGAGGCAGGCTAGTGGTGGTACGGCTTTTGAACATGGTTTGAAAGAGAAACTTCATCACTACTGCTATCTTCTCTGTGTAACGTTAGTAAGATAACGAATCAATGCAAATTATATATTTGTTCAACTGTAGTCCACTCTCTTGATGGCCCTTGTAATTAATGGCAATTCGGAGAATGATAACCTTATTTCAGCTAAAAGGTATTACATTTTATTTGTCCACATGCTACAAGTTTTTTTTTTAGATGTGCAATGGATGAAGAAGTAACCATAATACTTAAAAATGGAGTCTCAGAGAAATCATCCTTTAAGTTTTCATTCTGTACTCGCTCTACTCTACTTTACGTTGTACTCACACTTGAAGCTTGAGGCCTGTGTCCGTGCAGAGATCCACCATGGCTTTAGCCAGCTGCTGTTTCCCTGTGCCATAGCTGCCAACAAGCTGTCGGGTGGAGGAAACATGTTGCAGGTATCCGTGACTTGCATAGTGATACTAGTACTTAATTAAATAAATTCCGATCATTATCTTATAATGATGGAATAGAGTCCAGCTCGAGCAAACAGGAAATATTGATATTAAACAGTTGTCGATATTTCCTGTTCTGCTGGAGAGTGGAGACTCCCAATTTTTTCAAAGCCATTTTTTTTTCAAAGAATTTGCGAGTTGTTCATACGATCTATGTGAACCTTATGATCAGCCAATGTTGAAACATTTAGACTTAGCACTGGTAAAACATGTAACCAGGTGTGTACTAACCAGCACAGTGGCAGTGTCTCGACACGGCATCTTATTGAACGGCTTCAAAATCTCTCCTGGCAAAACTTCGGGCATATCGCTTTCCTGTTCTGCCGCCATTTTCAAAATGACCGCCTTTGTTAAATCGAAACGCAATGGACATTTACTGATGAAAAAAATGAATGGATCGCTTTACAGTTTAGTTCAGGTTTAATAACAAAAATCTAAAAATGTTAGTTTACAGTTAGAACATTTAATCATAAAATATGCAACCTTTGGCTGATTTAGCATAAAACTGCTATTTTCTGTTTTGTTGCGGTAGCTGTCCCAACCCTTGAATAGTTCATTATGAAAATAGGGGTAGTAGGTTAATTGCACGTTTTGTAATATCATGTTTTGAGGGAAACGTAATCACATCAAGTATTTAGTAAATGAAGTAAGAAAATTTAAGTACTGAATACTTTTATGTATCAAAACAGGACCGTATAGTTTGTGATTTTTTTTGGGTAAGATATTTAGCACCCTGGATGAACCCTATTCAATAATGGTAAAGACCGGTAAAATTTTGGAGGATTTCACAACACGACGCAGGACAGTTTTAGCCGGATTTGGACGGATTTTGGCCGGCTTGGACGGTTTCTGGTATCCGAATGGTAATCTGTTGTATAATTTTGCTGTATTACCCCCAACAAGATATACTTTTGTTCAGTTTTTGAAGAGAAACCCTTTGTAATGGGGAAGTCTTTCTGGTGCACGTGTGGACATGTTGAGTTGGTTTTGGGGATACGATCACATAAGTTACGTTACATCACATAACGTTCATCATGAGGCCACTCTCCAGTTTGGTCCAGCTTTAATAGACCCAGGTTTCCTTTTCCCCATCACTGGTGCTGTATGAAATAAGAAAATAGCAGCAATTAGTGAAGCTGAACCAAAAGGGTTTGGATATGCATTTTTTCTTGCAACAAAGGTATCAACATATCAAGGAATGATATGAAGGAATCATGAACTCAATGGAGGAATGTGATCAGTGGGAAGCATCACGCCATGTATGATTTTTTGGTTTTACTTAACCATATGATTATACCCTAATATTTATGAAGAATAATTCTTTAGTGATACTGGACACCTTTACACCCTGCCCATCTGTGTGTGTACATGATTTTCATAAATTTGCAATCCTGGTATCTTTGGAGGTTTTAAAGATCTTTAAATAACTGTTGATATAAAGTTTATCCATGAATCTGTTTGTGCAGTGTGCTTGAGATGTGTGACATCATGAGGGGGAAGGAGGCCTTTGGTGTGAAGTCGGTCAGGTTTGGAGGAGAGATTGTGGAGGTGTTGAAGAATTATAAAAGGGTAAGTATCACGTGTAACGTTAACTAGATTTAACTTTTGTTAGTACTTTTTTAAGCTAAATGCAGTTATACTGCTAGGTCTGATGTCTACTTCTATTCTGTCTAACCTGAAGACAAACGTCCTGTCCTATAAGGACCAACTTTTCCAGTAGGTTGCATGCCAGGTAAACAACAACAGCTTAAGAAGTAGATATGATTTTGAAGCATATAATATTATAAGATACAAATTACAATGCACCAGCACTTCATAATTACTGGTTGTTACGAATGATTTCATACTATTAACTTTTTTTCAGGGTCAGGAGACAGAATATCACCTTCTTGTACACCAGCTGTCAGATCCAGACATTAAGGTACTGTAAACAATATGGATTTTGTGATGTGTTTGGTGTGTAGAACTTTTCATATGTATCTTTGCTGTTGCTTTTAATTTGTGTCTTAATTCATATGTCCATATTATGGCTTTCCCTTCCAGCCCCAGACACTGATATGTTGGCTAAAGGAGCTGAAAGGCTGTGTTGCCTTCCTGACAAAAGAGTTTGAAACTTTGGTGGGAGTCATTTTGGTAAGAATAAGACTATTTTCTTTTGTTTGAATTTTGCTCATTACTCTGTACTGAAGATATTTGAAGACGACTCTGGCATATCCTGGGAAAGTCTTACAAGTAAAAATTTCCCACTGAAATAGACTTGGAGGCTTTTAATTTGACTTACAATGTTATGTTAAGTTATAGTATTCTGTGTATGATCACATGTTCATCTGTTACTACTTAACTATTTAGTTTTTAGAAAATATGATGACAAAAACAATTGTTCATAAAAATTTATATTTGCCATGTCCCAGAAAATCAGCTGGGCTAACAGTGAAGATGAAGTTGTGAAGGAGTACCTGTCCTTCCTGGGGAACCTGGTGTCAGCTCAGACCTTCTATCTACGAGCCTGTCTCAAGATGCTGGTCAAGACACTTGTGCCAAGTCAGTAGCTCATCTCTTATCAATATGGAAAAAAGACCTTCAACATGTGATAGATGTAGTATGATTTTAAAGTAGAAAAGTGTACTGTAGATTGATTTCAACAAGGGAAATGCTGAGATGGTACCTTTATCTGGTTCTATTGGACATAACATGTATTACTGAAAGTAAATAATCTCACTATTCTAGACGAGATGACCAGTTGAATAACTGTGTCCAAAGTGAAGATCATGTCTTATATTACAATGTACTTGTGATTTCAGGAGTGTCGCCTGAAGTACCACTAGATGAAGTTAAGATGGAAGGTGAGAAGCATTACGAGGAAACATTATTTTTAATCAAATTTTGTGGCTGTATTTTCCTTCACAAAATGTATTAGCAATGTGCATTACAGTGTTTTTAGCTGAAGGACATCAACAACAGTGAACTGACCCAGTTGCATTTAATGCATTTTTCTTTGCAGAGTACAACAGAATATTTGAAAATGCACACAGTGCATTGCAGAGAGTCTTGCACATAGTTCCCCTGTAAGTATGAAAATCAGACTTGTATGTGATACACACCAACATTCTTAAAAACTTCAGCTTACGCTTGAATACTCCTAAAAGTACTGAATGTTAACATTCTGTTTTAAATTGTCTGATTATAAGCACAAATTAAGAGGTTATCTTTCACACCTGCAGAGCTCCAAAGTTTTTAGCACCAGTCCTGTCTGACTGTTTCCCCTACATGAAGAAAGATGCCTTTGTACAGGTAGGTATCTCCTACTATATTTGATACCAAAGATACACTGGCTCTTTTCACATTGTTTCATTAGAACTTGCCAACAAGTGTTATTTTACTTCAAGGACAAACACATCATCACAACAGTTAGTTGAAAAAGCTGAAGTTTATTGTAATAACTTCCAATGAGGATATGAACAAATATTGTCATTTTCCCTTTACAGGAGTGTTATGTGAGAAACCTGCTACAGATGACATCATATGTCCCCAGCCTGAGACTACCAATCCTGGAACTGATTATCGACAGAATGATCAGAATAGATGTAAGTAGAACATGAATAACTCCACATTTCATGTCCAAAAGAAGTCATTTTCCTTGCCTGTAACAAAAAGGCCTATGGAAACAGAGCAGTAATGGAAATCCACCTCGTCCTGACAGGTCCACGCTCCGAAACATGAACTAGAGGAGGAGGAAGAAGAGGAGGATGCAGAAGAGACAATGGAACATCAGGATGATACCAGCATCCTCTTTGAAATGGTGTGTAATGGCACTACATTTTCATACTTACCCTGTTAGGGCAATCATCCGTTCTTATTTTTTTTACCTTTTTAATGACTCAAACACATTTTGAAATGCAATAGAGTTGAAAACAAAATGAAATCCATCGTCCCTCTCTAACATGTACCCATAGGACGGCATGGAGTGTAGCAGTGGTAAAACGATGGAGCAGCAGAAAGCAGCACCAGAGCTGGCCGTTACCATGGCAACGGAGGAGTACAAACATATGACACATGAGATGGGGGACAGACTGGATGTGATGATGACTGTCATGCTGCAGTATATGAAGGATTCATGTGTTAATAAGGACACAGGTAGGCCGGGTTATTTGATTATCATTCCAGTTTGTTCTTTGACTTTAACACAGTAACACTGATCCTAACTTGATGACTTGAGACATACAACATAGTTCCACCTAAGTATGTAATAAAGTTTGAACTCATGTTACCCTATCTGATTCCAGGTGAACTGCAGGCCCAGCCTACCATAGAGATGTTCCGCCACCTGCTTACAGCGTTTGAGAAGTTATTATTGCCGACCCATGCCTCCTGCCATGTACAGTTCCTAGTCTTCTACGTCACTTCCTTACGACAGGTAAGTTGTGGAAAACCTGTAAAATGGTTAGATCATTTTCTACATACATCTTGGTACATTTATTTTGCCACACAAACCCAAAACATACAACATATCATCAAAGTAAAAATTGCAGCTTGAACACTGTAGACAAATGTAGACCATTGTTGTGAGTATATACTGAATCTGTTTCAGGACCTGGCTGACGCGTTCCTGAACTTCTGCTGGAGGAAGGTCCAGAGTCCCAACACACCGGTCATCCTCCGCCAGGCAGCGGCTGCTTACATGGCCAGCTTCCTCGCTAGAGCCAACTTTGTACCACTCAGGTGACTTGGCCTTTCATATGGTCTATCTTGTAAGATGTTAGTCAAAAAAGTATGTAAGGATGTCTTGAAAAAAAGGACATGTGCAGTGTTTCAGAAGTTGGATATGAAAGCCCAACAGTCCTACACACCCTCCCTAGTGGTCATTTATGATTCATGCCCCTAACTTAGACCACCATGTGATCGTGTCTTATTTGGTTCTTGACTGCCTTCCCACAGTCAGAATTATGTGTACGGCACGGAGACTAAACCAGCCACAAACTCACAGCAGGTGGAACTCACTGTCCACTTGTTAGAGTATAAGGCTTACACCCTTCCAGACTCAAACTGATGAGGCTATTGCTGACTTGTAGCCAGTGTGATACATGTACATGTAACTATGAGCTGTATGAGCAGCATCTTAAGAATACTAGTACTTCCCTTAACCAGCATTTCTATCCTCTGTTTTCCTTCCACAGCACGGTAATTGCTTGTCTAGATCTCCTGCTACCTTGGATACACAGGTACGTTTCATATCATCTGATAGGACATTGAGTTGAATTTTGCTAGCTTTATTCATTTGTTAAAGAATGCTAGCAATTCAGGCAGCCAAATTTTCAAAGTTGAAAATCATAGGAACAAAATACAATACATAGATGATCAACAAATGTCATTATGCATACCGGTAACTACTTTTTAATAATTTGTACATGTAATTTGCTAACTTCAGGCCAATGTTTATAGGTGCACTACAACTACTAGTATTTTCAGTGTGAAATATTGCTCTCTGTATGAGAAGATCAGAAAAGTCAGTAATATTTCAATATAAAGGATTCATCATGTGTCTTCTCTCTTGTTGCCTGTTTGTAGATATATAGATGACCAGGATGGCAGCACCAGGTCCTACCCTGATGTCAATCTACACGGAACCTTCTACTCTGTGTGCCAGGTTAGATTCACTCCTACAAATCGTGTCATTTTTAAACAATCCTGAACATCATGGTTGCATACAAAAATGTTGATTTGTTTAAACAGTGGTGTGTTCTTTGTCTACAGGCTGTTTTCTACATGTTTGTGTTCAGACACAAGCAATTTGTGGAGTCTAAAAAAGGTGAGTCAAATCATGCCTAGTCTTCTTTGTACATGTTCCCTTGAAAACAAAGCAGTTCTTTCTAGTACATGTATGTTGATGTCTCCTAGAACAACATTAACAGACAGTTCCTCCAATGTGTAGGTTTTTCAAAATGTAGTTGAATAGAGTTTGTTTGTTACTATGATATACATTGTAAATCATTGAGAGTAAGAGGCATTGTGATTGTCGTAATTGAAAAGTTTACATAGATCTGTGCACTCTTTCTTCTTCCAGGCTTGAACTACATCCGAGGACTGAACTTTGACCGAGTGATAAACTGCAGGCTGAACCCCCTGAAAGTGTGTTTACCAACAATAGTCAACATGTTTGCCTCCATTACAAGGTCAGCCCAACATGCTAATTAGTGCAGAAACATTGTTTCAGCCGTCACGTTTTACAGAATAATAGACATGCACTGTTAGCACTGTTAGCACTTACCAGTGTAGGTGTATCTAAAAGAAGGCTTGTATTCAACATGTCAAATCACTGAAGCTCAGTTCTCTCACAACAGTTATGCCGTGTCTTATTTGGTTCTTGACTGCCTTCCCACAGTCAGAATTATGTGTACGGCACGGAGACTAAACCAGCCACAAACTCACAGCAGGTGGAGCTCACTGTCCACTTGTGAATGTGTACATGTGGTACATGTATTGTAACTATGCCATTTTGAGCAGAAGCCTAGGCTAGGTTTACTACCTGCATTTTTATACATAGCTGATGTTTTTACATAAATATATTTAAGTGGCATTATGAGCATTGCAATGTGCTTTACAAGACTTGCATTCAACATTTCCGATGAGTAAATCTCAGTTGGTCCTGTGTTCCAGGATGTATCAGATAGTCATGTGTTACACCATCATGGAGAGGAATAACCGGTCAGTCCTGCCTGTGGTCACCAGCAGCCAGGGGGGACCCACGGACGTCACCAACCTCAACCCTCTGGACGCATTCTTCCCCTTTGACCCCTACATGTTGAGTAGGTAAGTACAACAGAAACCACCACCACCCTCCCTCCACAACCATTTCTACTTTGATTTTAATTCTGTAAATGTCAGATGGTCATGTGTGTTATTTTTGGAAGTTGTTAGCTGCTAAGACCGTATCAAACTGTATCTGAATCACTTTTACTTAAGTATATAAAGTATTGTGAAAATTTTACTACATGTAGTATAGAAAAGCTACCTACGTGTCTTATTTGGTTCTTGACTGCCTTCCCACAGTCAGAATTATGTGTACGGCACGGAGACTAAATCAGCCACAAACTCACTGCAGGTGGAACTTACTGTCCACTTGCAAGAGTGTCAGGCTTACACCCTTCCAACCTCCCACTGATGAAGCCATTCCTGTTTGTCTTTGGTGTCCAATATTTATCCTGTATTATTTTGTTCAGGTCCAAGAGGTTCATCCAGCCCCTGTACCAGGAGTGGGAGGGTAATGACCCTGATCAAGATGAGGCTGCCAATTCTGAGGTGAGGCTTCAATGTCTTGATTTTGAAAAAAAAGTTCAAGGGCTTTTCCCAGACAAAGAATGTTTTGCTCCCTTTCTATATTTAGATATGAGATGCATGAAATGGTGATGTTGTTATGTTATGGCCACAAACTATGAACAGCAGCTTGAAGAAGGAACTGACTTGTGCACCAAAACAGCATGGTCTTTGAGAAAATTTGCTAATGTGTTTCATCAGGAGGATGAGGATGACTTCCTCCAGGGTGCCATGTCACCAGGGACCCCCCACATGGGCACCACACCTGGATCTATCCCAGAACTCCCTGGGTTCAGGAAGAGGAGACGCACAGACAGCAGCTGTCTGTCACCACCCTGATCTCACACTTCCTAACATGGACATTTGTATCACATCATACAATACTGCTGTCATGTACATAGTACATATGTACACAGCCATTCAATATACATGTACATAAACAAAGGAATCTAGGAAAGAAATAACTTTTATTTTAGAGCTCTGTACCTATGCAGGTATGTTGAAGAAGAAATTAATTAAATTTATCCTCATCTCTCATGTTACATGTACTTTGTGTATGACTTCATTTTCCTATTCAACACATCAATATGATAATAGCAGTGTCTGAAAGTAACATGCATGCAGAAGGAATTACTCAGTACTTGCACAATGTTACTTGTATATATTTTGGACATTAACTCATTAAGGTTGATGCTTGACTAGAAAATGCATTTGAATACTGCAAACTCCTCATTACAATAAAACTTATACTGGATAAAAGTACATGTATAGAAACTTCAGTATGGTGGCGTTCCAAAATCTCATCAGCTTTTGTACATGTATATATTATAACATTTATTAAGTACTAGACTGGTGGGGCAAAATATGACATAATCTACATGTATATGTGTAGAAATGTACTGTTGTATAATAAAATCTTAACTTCACTGCCACTTCATCTCCAGTATATGTCCATGTATATATATATAGATGAGCTTTGCCCAATATGTAGAGTATACCAGTAGTAACCTTTGAAATCAAATAGAAATCTTTACACATTGGTATTAGCCAGTAACCCGACATCTTTTATACACAAACACACACACGCTGTGTATATTTTCTACGTTCATGAGTATCCTTTGCTTTGAAAATTCAAGGGTAAGGCATTTTCCATACACCATGAAATTATTTCTTCATAATAGAACTCATTCCCAAAATGCCAGCATTTTTATCTCAACTAAGTAGTACAAGTACAGATCCTAGGACCTATGAGTCCTGTGCCAGTTCCCACTGTCCGGCAGTGTTTCTCCTGTACACCTTGCCCCTCCCCCCGGGGAAGACAGTCTCCCCTGGGTGGGGATGTTCCAACAGGAACTTCAGAGCTGCTCTAGTGTTCTCTACGAAGTCTGGAGGTTCTACCAGTGGTGATGTGGACAAGTACTGGAGGAAAACACAGGGAAAACATTAATTGAACACGGCTTAGCAAATGTCTGACAGCATGACAAATGTAGTTGAATCCATTATTCATTGTACACGGTATGAGGACATTATTGGTGACCAGCATCTACTTTGATCCTGCCTGTAACTTTCTGAAGGACTCCCCATGTTACCTTGAGAATGATGTGGTCAGGCTGCTCCAGCCATGAGTGTGCATCATGGAACTGTCTGTACTGGAACGGCCCGATGTTCAACTCTTGTTTTGTGGGGTCATAGATGTTCAGCATCTGTAATGATACCATACTGTCAGACGTATGACTAGTGCCCGCAGATTGTATGTATTTGAAGCTCCTTGTTGGTAAGAAGTGCCTTTGTAGACAAAATTTCAGGTAGCCACACAACAATGTTTCACCACTTGATATGCGTCTTCAAAGTGCACTAAGATGCCGTTTTTAACAGTGGACAACGCAGCAGTCAGTATGTATAGCTGACATATCACCTCGTGCTTGCCTGTGTAGCTCCTCGCATGTCTCAGAGCCTGGTCTGGTCCTTTGTCGGTGAACTTGGCTGGAAATATCTCACCACTTCTGACATCCACAGCTGAAAACAAACACATTTTCTGCATGACAAAGAGTACCATCCACTAATCAAACTGTCTGGATACACCTGATTTTTATACAGCAGATATGAGTTTGTTATACATGTACTATATATAGTAAGGAATAGTTACCAAGGTAAAGTGTTTATGAAGAGTGTAATTAACAGTTGTGGACCAATATTAAGTCCACTTGTTATAAATAAGATATGGGCCCCTATTTGAATAATTGTTCATTTTTTACACGTTATTCATTAATATAACTTATAATAGAGCAAGTATCTAGTTATGTTTAGGAACTTACCAAGACCATAAATGATTGGCCAGTGGACTTTGCCTTTCACCACATTATTCAGTTCTAGATTGGAAATAAAGAAAAAAAGGAATCACTACACATCTGCATGCACAACCATTTGTGGTGATATGGACAGTTAATATGGATTACTATCGGTTGAGAACATTTTCATTCCACTATTTCCATGGTTGGGACTTACACATAAAAATACAGAAAAATGTTGTTTCAGTTGTATGATATAACTGTTACAATACCAACACAGTTTTATGATTATCTCTGCCACAAAGACTTCTATCTGTCTAATATATACATTAGTCTAACATTACATGAGTGTAAAATCTAAACCTACCTGAGACACAGGCTGTCTTTAGGTAAATGTTGTCTTTTACTCTGTTAAACTCCTCTGGGGATAAAAGAGGGTATTAAAATCAAAATTTAACACTATACGGGCTATGTACATGTAAATTCAAAAGAAGCCATGTAAAAGTTTATGACCACTTTATAGAAATGCAATATCTGCTGTGTACTTACCTATCAGCTCCACTGTAAGCTGTTCAGACATACATCTGTCATCACAGAACCCTCCAACTAGATGCAGCTCCAACCTGTAACATTGTAACGTGTGCATCAGAGGTCATCAAAACATCACAAAGACTCTACTATCAATTATAACCATATCAGGACATTGTGTGCATGTAAGCCCATTACATTATGCTTGTACAGTAACTGCAGAGCCAATTTTAATCCTCATACAAACTTAAGGAAATTACTATGAACTTTGATAAAGTTCAATCAGATTGTGGTAAAATTATATGACAAGACTCCTAAACAGTTTGGTTGAATGCCAAATATGAACTCCTGAAAGGTGGACTAAAATAATAGAGTGATGTTATGAGTATTGTTTAATACACAGTCCATTACTCTATCTCACACCCACCTTCCCTCTGTGCAGTTATGACTGAGCTCCCCCACATATCCCATCATGCCCCTGATCCCTTCCCTGGTGCCAGTTCCATCAAAGTGTGCCACACAGGAAACACCACAACCTGCATGGGGAGATACATGGAGGTCAGAACAGCACACAGGTCATACCACAACTGGAAATATACCACATTGGAAAAATACATACTAGTATTACATACAAGATACAAATGATTATGTATCACGGCATCTATCTTGACACCAAAATCATACAGTCTTATTGATAAGGATCCTGTGAATCAAACAGAAGAAGAAGAAACAATTGTTTTTCCTGAGGCCATAACAAACGACTGAATCACACATACAAAATGAAAACCACCCTGACCTGTGTGCCTGAGGACAGCTATGTGACATGTCGTGGCATCTTCTGAACCTATGAACTGTACAACATCTGAAAGGAGAGGTAGACAATTGATGATCTTGGTATCATTCATCATATCCTTTTTGGACATGACTGGAACATTAAAAACATCAGCCTATTAAAGATCCTGGACGCAACATGCCACAGATATATGCCCAGCAATAATGAATTGCAAACACAGCTACAATTAATCCCCTGCTTGGGGGATGTTATTGCAAAGTGAAGTAAATATTATTTGAAATTATTTTTGTGTACAGGTAATAACTTTAGTCACCATCAGATGGCCCTGTAGCTGCATACTCTCTCTGGTTGACATACAGGACTCGGTCTGTACCGAGCGTTCTCACAGGCTGGCTGCACAGGTCTGCTGCAGACTCCTGAAACAGACATTGTCACATTATTCTAACACTCATCAGGATGAGGAAGTGAACAAAAAATTATAACGTTATGAACTTTCTGTCTAGCTTTACGCACATTTTAGAGGGACATTGTAAGTTACTATTCGCGTACCTTTAAGTGTGGAAACTTGACAAGCAAGCTCTTCACACTGTCGACGTTTCCTACTTGGGTGTCATCCACAACAAGCGGCATTTTCTGTAGATATAACGGAGAAAACACTTCAAACACACATCCACTGACCACTTTCTTCAGTACTCTGGTCATGGAGGTCAGAGGTGAAAAGTTAACATCCTGTAGGTCAGAGGTAAACATCCGGGAAAGTTGTAGTTAGAACCACGTGACCCAGGTTCTTCCTTTTTCCCTGGGACAAATCTCCATTGGCGTTGTAGAAGTGAGTCTCTCTCAAAATCAAACAAAATTCCGCACATTTTACGCCATTTATTTGCGTTTTTAGTATGCCAGTGTGCGCATAATATATGTTGGAATACGTAGACGTACTTCCGTGCCAATGTGAACCGTTAGCTTGTTATAAAATCACAAAATTGTACGGCCAAAAATTCTACTCTGCCATGTGGCCAGCGCGCGCCATGCCATGGGTGGGGAGGGGGGGGCAATTTTTTTCGACACGTGTAACAAGTTTTAGCTCAGTACACAAGTCAATACCTTGGGTATCAAACGAATATATCTTGAAGGGTTCCCTTTGTCAAAATGTACTGTGTCAAAATGTATAAGTAATATTTGATCATAGTAAAACTTAAAGTGTGTTCTTCAGTGCTATCTGTGTGAAAAGAAAAAGGCATCGTCAGACGTCTGTAATAAAATATGTCCCATATAGAATTTACAAATTATGGTGTACTTGGTCGGTGATGAGTTCCAAGATTAGAGCCAATCCTCATAGAGCAAAGCTCTTGGATGATATTTTATCTCCTGAGACCTCTACAACATCAAAAGTTCTATACTTCATAGATAGTTAGAAAGGATTAAATATGAAACCTGTCGTGTCTCTTCAGGTTGTCAACCCTTGACTTGTGACAGCTCACCATGTCCGGAGGTTTGGACGCTCTCGCCCTGAAGGAGGAGGATGTGACGAAGTTCCTGGCCTGTGCCACCCACCTGGGGGCCAGCAATGTGGACTTCCAGATGGAGCAGTACGTCTTCAAGCGCAAGGCTGATGGTACATCCCTTACCAGTTTTCTTAAGAAACAAGTCTCCAGTACAGATACATTGTTGTTTGGTCATTGATGAGTTCCAAGATTAGAGCCAATCCTCATAGAGCAAAGCTCTTGGATGATATTAGATCTACTGAGACCACCACAACATGAAAGTGCATTCACCTCATAGAGAAAGACAAAGGGAATAAGGTCATCTTCGGATTATTATCTTGTAATAAGTAACTAATGATATGGGGAGATGCAAGTTGCTCACTTCCATATTGGTATAAAACATACGTCCAACAGTATGGTTACATCAAGCCTTCTCCCTCCTAAGGTGTTCACATCATCAACCTGAAGAAGACCTGGGAGAAGCTGCTGCTGGCTGCCCGGGCCGTGGCTGCCATTGAGAACCCTGCAGATGTCGCCATCATCTCCTGCAAGCCTTACGGACAGGTGAGATCCAAGCAGACGCAGATCTGAACCTGATCGTTTCCTCAGTTCAGCATGCCTTTGTGTTGACTGATGGGAATGATGCTACATCCCAGTATCTTGACATAAAGTGTGAGAGTCACGTGGTATTCGTACTGTCTGACCCAAATTTTGTTTTGACTCTTTATGTTAGGATGGGTTCTTTTTAACTGATATATAAAGCAAAACTGAAGCATGGTTTTGTGATCTTCTGTTCCAGCGAGCTATTCTGAAGTTCGCTGCCCACACCGGTGCCACGCCCATCGCTGGCCGCTTCACCCCGGGTACCTTCACCAATCAGATCCAGGCTGCTTTCCGCGAGCCTCGTCTTCTCATCGTGCTGGACCCGCGTATGGACCACCAGCCCGTTACTGAGGCGTCGTACGTCAACATCCCCGTCATTGCCTTCTGTAACACTGACTCCCCCCTGCGCTACGTGGACATCGCAATCCCCTGCAACAACAAGGTATGGATGGGCAAGATATATGAAATTGTATATCAAAATTTTTGTTTGGATCATTCATTGCATCAAGTTATGTTGCAAATCTTTTTGGCAATTCTTTTCAAATCTCTTCTGCTAGAATGATTCAAAATTGAAGACTGGGCCCCCTTGGAAAATTTTTTTTTTTTTTTAAGGGGCCCACCCAGTCTTGATGAATTAAGTAAGAAAAGGCCGTATAAGCTTATTGTTGTTCCCTCCCTGCAGGGTGTTCACTCGGTGGGTCTGATGGTGTGGATGTTGGCCCGTGAGATCCTGCGCCTGCGTGGGACCATCTCTCGTGAGGTGCCCTGGGACACCATGGTGGATCTGTACTTCTACCGTGATCCTGAGGAGCTGGAGAAGGAGGAGCAGGCCGCTGCAGAGAAGGCTGCTGCTGAGGCCCAGGCACCCTACCAGCCTGACTGGACCCAGCAGGCTGACCAGGTCCAGCCAGAAATCACTGACGTAAGTGTGCAGCTTCTTGTCATCAAGCAATTTAAGAACAATCTGTTGTTGAGCACATAAAGCAAACTTTGCCATTGGTTCCATTCCAATATGGAATGGGAAAGCATTGTGCATAGAAAAATACTGGTCAGATTCTGACAAATTAGTTTGTACAAATTGTAATGATAGAAAGGAATGGAGAACAAGAACTCTATTTGAAAGAATTTTTCATGAATCATGTTGACAGATTTTAACACACACACCCTCCTTTTCCCCCTGCTAAATGAACGTCCTGTACTTCCCCACAGTGGAGTGCCGAGATGGCAGCAGGGCCAGCACCTGGGGCTGCTGTACAGACTGGAGACTTCATGCCACCTGCGCCAACTGACTGGGCTGCACCTACCGAGGACTGGGGAGCCACACCCGCACCACCCCAGACTGCACCTGCTGCGACACCTGGGGACTGGGGCGGCGCTCCCACCACACAGGACTGGAGCTAGACCCCATCCAACTCGCCCTCGCTAAGGGCTAAGCTGTAACATTGCCACCCAGGCAAAAATACACGAAAATAAAAGAGCCTGTCAAGAAGAAACTACTGTGTGTGTGACTTCATTTTTCTCAAGTACTATGGTACAGGCAAGTGAGTAGTGACTTCTCAGTTGAATAATCCTGCAGGATTGTTAAGTCAAGATATATACATGTAGGAG